TCCAGGGTAGGTATACCAAGGGAAATGTTAACAGACATGGGTACTCAATTCACGTCCTCTCTTATGAAGGAGGTAAGTCGACTTATTTCTATGAAGCAGTGGACAACCACACCTTATCACCCCTCCTGTAATGGGTTAGTCGAACGCTTTAATGGAACTTTAAAGCAAATCTTGAAACGACTTTGTGCAGAGAAGCCCAAGGACTGGGATAAGTATTTAAATGCAGTACTCTTTGCTTATAGAGAATTACCACAGGAAAGTTTGGGGTTTTCTCCTTTTGAATTAGTTTATGGAAGGTTAGTACGGGGTCCAATGGCTATTTTGAAAGAACTTTGTACCAAGGAAATAGAAGATCCAAACGTGAAAACAACCTATCAGTATGTTTTAGATCTGAAAGAGAGATTACAGTCCATGGCCCAGCTTGCCAGAGAAAACCTTGAAAAATCTGCTACCAGGTACAAGAAGTACTACGAAAAGAGAGCTAGAAGTAGGACTCTAAAGGTAGGTGACAAAGCTCTTATTTTAATGCCTACAGACCACAACAAGTTACTTCTTCAATGGAAAGGCCCCTTTGACATTGTAAAGAAGGTAAACCCATGTAGATTACCAGCTAAAAATGAATGGCAAGGTAAAGACCTTTCATATAAATCTTCTTAAGAAATATGTCGAAAGAGCACAAGGTAACAATGTTTTTGTTGTGACTGATGAAAGTGTATTTGGTACAGTAAATGCTACATTTGTGGATTGTGTGGGAGACAGTTAGACGACTATCCGACACTTGATGCTGACCAAGGCAAAGCAGTAGATATAAATGGTTCGCTATCAAATGAGGAGAGGGAAAAGTTGATGAGTATCATAGCCAATTACGATGACGTTCTACAAGACCAACCAGGAAGTACTACTATTTTAGAACATGACATCCGCATGGTAAGTGATAAGCCAATGCATGTCAAAACACGTTCAGTTCCCTTTTCTTTGGAAGAAACGGTCAACAAAGAGGTGAGTGACATGTTAAATTTAAAAATTATTGAACCGTCTGAATCTCCTTTTTGTTCACCAATAGTTATTGTTCCAAAGAAGGATGGTACCAATCGGTTTTGTATTGACTTTAGGCTACTAAACAGACAGACAATTTTTGACTCTGAACCAATACCAGATGCCGATGAAATGTTTGCAAAATTTGCAGGACACAAATATTTCTCAAAAATTGACTTATCAAAGGGGTCCTGGCAAATAAAACTGACAAAAGCATCTAAACCAAAGACAGCTTTTAGAACAAGTAAAGGGTTATTTCAATTTTGTGTTATGCCCATTGGCTTAGTCACAGCGCCAGCTACTTTTTCACGATTGATGCGGAAAGTTTTGAGTGACATGGAAAATGTCGACAATTTTATTGATGACATAATCATTTTTACATAGACATTTGAACATCATCTCAAAGTACTTGAAGAACTTTTTCAGAGTCTACGTAGCGCAGGCCTAACTGCTAAACCAAGTAAGTGCTCATTTGCCTATCCCAGTTTGAATTGTCTAGGTCATGTGATTGGCAATGAACAGTTGAGACCAATGTTGGACAAGGTCAAGGCTATACAAGATGCACCAAGACCAGGAACTAAGAAGCAACTGCGATCATTCCTTGGGTTAATAGGATTTTATCGTAAGTTTGTTCCAAACTTTGCATGCATTGCATTGCCATTAACTGACTTGACCAGGAAAGGGTGTCCAACCAAACTTGTATGGGAAAAATGTCATGAAATTGCATTTCAGTCTTTGAAGTTGTCCTTAATTCATTCTCCTATTTTGAAACTGCCAAACATAAAGGAGTCTTTAATACTTCAGACTGATGCATCTGATAGAGGTTTAGGGGCTGTGTTATTGTAGAGTGAAGATGATCAAAAGTTACCAGTAGCATACGCGAGTAGGAAGTTGAAAGAGAGAGAAAGTGCGTACGCAACAGTGGAGAAAGAATGTTTGGCTATTGTTTGGGCCATTCAGAAATTTCAAAAGTATTTATACGGTCAAGAGTTTGTTTTAGAGACTGATCATAGTCCACTTGTGTATCTCAATCAGTCAAAGGTCACTAATCCTAGATTGATGCGCTGGGCACTCAGTCTCCAGCCGTATCGATTTCGAATCCAAGGTATTAAGGGAAAAGAGAATGTAGGTGCAGATTATCTTAGTCGTTTGTAAATTTTTGTAAATAGTTTCCCATTTGTAAAGATTCAGGTTTGTTTTCTATTTTTTAGATTTTTATGTGTTTTTTAAAGTACTGCGTACTTTTGTAAAAATGGGAGGTAATTGTCACATTAAAATCTCCTAATCGAACACGCAAGTAATTTGTATTCACCTGTGGGGAGCCTCCATTTTTCACTGGGTTCATTTAACCCCGTTTTATACCTCAAATCACCAGACCTTTAAAATATTGGTGAGCCCATGCTTCAGTTTGGACACGGCAGTCCAGGTAGAAGGACGTTTTCAAAACTTCTCCAGATTTATATATTTGATTTGTATTATACACATGGCACACCATTGAGGGTATTTCAACTCAGCCCTTATTTAGAATTTATGGTATGGTCCTGCTTCTCTGAGGTAAGCCTTATTTGCGTTTGTTTTTATTATTTTATAAGTTGTAAATATCTTAAAGCACCCAGATACGGAAATTCTAAAAAAAAATGCAACTTTAAGCTATTCTATTTCATACTTTTAAGTTGTGTTATTTATAGTTACATTGTGTTTGAAACTGCGTGAGTTGTAAATGTACGGTGGCTTGTTTTATCTTTATTTGTCGGTTCTACGTTTCGTAATAACTGTTGAGAAGTATAGCATTTACTGCATTGTACATATTGCAATGTAACGTTTCACAGCGTAAATTGTATGTCTACATTATCCTGTATATGATATTTAACAGGTCTCATTGATCATTCCTGTGTAGTAGTGTAGAGATGGCGGCCCGTACCAGTCACATCTCGTTGTCTTGAACGCAAGACGGACGTGTAACCTCCTCGGTACTGGAGAGGGGGGAGTGTAATCTCTTCGCACTGGAGAGGGGTGTCTGAGCCTCCTTAGCGGCAAGAGACAGTTGTGTAACCCAAACACCGTTTGGAATCATAGACTACCGGCATTCGAGGGACACGGACGACCACACACCACAGCAGTTTATTTTGTTGTATAATATTTTGTTAATTAAAATGTAAAGTTTAAATGTAGAAAAGATTTTCTGTTATTTATCAAAGAGGAGTTTGGATCACTATTCTCTACGCAAGGTCATTATTTGACAATAAGAATGGGGCAAAGAAGAGTTCTGATTCTTCAAGCTTGGAGCAATTCAGTGTTTAAATAATGGACTAACAATTAGTGTGAAAAACGTCAGTAGCATTTGACTCAATGATAAATTGCAAATGCTGACAAGGTCATTGTATCGACCATTCATGTTTCATCAATTTTTTTTGTCAATAAAGCCTCTTTTTAGAAATTGTTGATAGGTGAGCATACTATTGCGGATCGAATCAACAGAAATATTTTAACTCCGTATACATTAAGGTATATTGCTGCATAAGTAAGGGAAGTTGACAATTCAAAAGTTAAAGTCACTACGTTTATCATAGAGCTTGGTTCTTAAATTACCATGAATGCCTTTTTCAAGTAAAATATATTTAAATATAGAACAGTTGTTTCAGTCTAGTATTTTATGGATTTCCTAAATAATGGTCTCGATTTTGGGAAATCAGCAGCACTTTCGATGTTCAGGAAAATATCCTTTATTTATATATTTTTAGTGTTTAAGATGTATTTAGTATATTCCCTTGCAAATAGACGATGTAATATAAGGAAACTTGTATAGTCATCAACAAAATTACTCTTAAAAAAATTAAAATGGCCGCCGCCAGGTGAGTGCATGTATGCGTGTTCTAACTGAAAATGTAAAAAGAAAATATATAAAGTAAATAATAAAAATAAAATAAACAAATAAAAACGTAGTATTTTGTTATGTTTTCTTTGATTGTTATTACTCTCAATATTTGTATAGGGATTGACTTGTGAGAGTTCTGAATGTAATTAATGAATATATTAATTGAGATGTCACGAATATCTTGTGCCAGTTACGGACAGCACATATATTCGCGGCTCGTTTTCGAAGTTCTATTTTTAACAGCCACCAACAATTTTAAATAATATTGAGATCGGGGCTTTGAGTCGGCCTGTTCATGATATAAAAGTTGATTATTTCTGTGGAATTCTTTAACAATTTGAGCTCTTTATATTGGCTCATTGTCGTCCTTAAATATTTAGTTACCATCTGCAAAGTGCCGTAAAAAACTGGCCACAGATCATGATCTAATACAGAGAAATATTTTTCTGTATTTATATTTCCATCAAGAACACAAACTGTTACGATACCGAGATGTGTAATACTACAAAAGTATCATAATATGATTAGAGTTAATTTTGCGTTTTCATAGCTGGCAAATACAACAGCACAATCATGCAGGTACTCGGTATTCCTAGCTCATTTTTTCCACACTTTCATACGTGTGTCTTTTTCGATAATGACCTAACAATTGTCACTAAAATCACTTTATTCCAGTGTGTATCAACAATATTCCTCTGCACAAGGCCACACGATTTTTGTTCATTGCATGGATTTCTATCACCTTCTTCCGTTTCTACTCGATTGTCATCTTCCCCCTTTTCGACCCTTCTTTGTTTATGTTGGCTTTTCTCAAAATATAAAGAAGACAGTAAAATGACTAAATTCATGACGGTAAGTATCACATGAGACCTATATAAATAATTATCTATTACCCATTTGCGATAGGCGGAACATAGATTTTACGGAGAAAAAAAAAATTCTGTTTTTATTTGGCGCCATTTTTTTTTTTACGAATACTTTTGCGAGATTACAGTAAAACACAAAACTCAACTTTTTCAACTCTAAAAGATTATATTTTGAGCTTACAATGAATTACAATTCGGTTAATATTTTTGTCATATTTACTTACATTCATCTCTGTAGTATATCTTGACAGACTTCAAGCTGAAGTAATCTTTAAGATCCACTTGAAGCCATGCTTTCGGGAGTCCATGAGCAGTGTGTGAACATCGCTTATAGTCTGTTTGAGTTGTAATGCCATCATTTGCGAGCGCTGCATTCCATGACTCAAATACTGAGCTTAAGGAAACTTTTGTCGCACTTCTTCTGCTTAAATTATCTGTATTTGATACGGAACATAATAAGATTTTCTAATATCATGATTAATAAACGTGCTAATTTTAGCTTAACTTTCCATGAAAAGGCAAATGATAAATCAGAGCATATGAAGGGGTTCTCCAAATACTTAAGTTAAGCTAAAGGTGACTGCCTAGCATACTACATGTAGTTCTAGACCTAATGTTTCGTGTTTAATAAAAAGGCTATCCTTATGTCTTTCAGACATTTTTTACCGTTTGTTTCATTTTTCTCACCACTTTATCCATTGTTCAGTACCTTAATATAACTACGAGATTGTATTTCATTTTTTTTTCCAATAATAAACTAGATGTTGTCATTAGACAGCAATACCCGCACTAAGCTGTTTGCCTCTAAATACACACTCCTATATATTGGGCTTTCCAAGGGAAAAGTCAAAATAATTCTTTAATTTACACTGAACATGTATTCGTCAAATTGAGTATGAAATTCTCAGAACCAGTGACCATGTGACATATGACTTAGAGCCTCTTAGGTGTATTTTATATGCTTAAAATGTTTTGCTCATTTTAGGAACTTTTTAAATTTACTAATACCCCCCTCCCCGACACCACAACACATGGCACGTAGGTTTTTTTCATGTAGGCTAGATGGAAAAGTTAAGTAAAAAAAATCAGGAGGGGGGGGGGTTCACACCACTGTCAAAAAAATTCCAGCACAGAATTTCCTGAGAAGCAAAAAAAAAAAAAAATGAAAAAAAATCAACAAAATAAAAACAATCTATAGTGGGGTCGTGGGGTCAATGTTTTCTAAGGGGGAGGATGTCCAAAATCCTTTTTGTTTGCTTAAGTATACAGTCTAATTCAAATAACAAAGCAAATTCCAACGGAGGATCTAATCTCTCTAGGCACTCCCTGTCCCGGAAATTCTAGCGATCTTGTGATTCCAAAATAGATTTTTTTTTCCATTTGACTATATACAAATTTTGTTTCTAGTGTTTATATTACGTCTGTCTGTTTGTCCCCAGAAACTTTAATCTTGCCCATAAGTTTTAAGTTGGATGGGCTATACACATGGCTTCCACATTTCATAGGTTAATTCCTTGTGACAAGACCTTTTATTTAGGTACCACCAATTTTGACCTCTTGATCTCTTGAACTTGACATTGGAGTTTTACTCATTTTTACAAGAAAAATACCAAACTTGAAACTTGGCCTAAATTTTGATCAGTAGATGCTAGGGCTTTCATGCTTAACATGTGTATTCGTTGTGATCTTTCAACAGGTATAAATATGTTTGACCTTGACAATAGAGTTTGACCCACTTTAAAAAAATTGTAACCTTGGCCATTAACTTTTGAACAGGAAGTACTAGGGATTTCTTATTTCACATGTGTATTCCTTTTAACAAGACTTTCTTTTGATACCAACAATTTTAACCCTTTGATTGACATTTGAGTTTGACATACATTTTAGAAACTCCAACCTTCACCATAGGCTACCATACGGGGGCATCGGTGTTTCACAAACACATCTTGTTTTCATTATTTTTAAGTGGTGGTGTCTCAAAATGAGGAAAAAATTCCCGAGAGGTGTGACTAAGTTCTGTGGTTGAATTAGCTATAAAAGTTCAGTAGCTTTATTTTGCTAATCAAAACACCTTGATTAACTATTTTCAATCATACTGTTTTCTGAAATGCTTAATTTTTTAACAATGGATACGTCATGCATTTTCAGCTTCTAAAAAATGCATGACAAAAAGCTTTTCAAATACTTCAACCATGGTAACCCTTTCAAACTACTCATTTAAGCTTTTTTTGTTTCCTTATCACATTCCGTCTGCCGTCCATCTGTTTGTCTGGAAAGTTTTTACATTTTTCACTTCTTCTCTAGAACCACTGGCCAATTTTAACCATTTTATTTAGAAAAATGTACATTTGTATGTCAGTCTGTCCATCTGTCTCAATAATCTTAACATTGTTCATCAAGGTCATATCTATTCAATGAGAAAGACAAGGCATTCATATTAAACATATGTATTTGAACAAGTATTTACCGGTGACAATGGCATGATTTTTTTTACCGGTGACCTTGAAGATTGACCTACTTGCAAAAAAATTACGTGTTTTAAATTCATCATTTTGAAAGAGTAAATTTAGGGCATTCATATTATACATGTATGTCTATTATTACCTGTGACCTTTCCAAATAAATCATGACTGTTGACTCTGTAACCTTGACCTTGAAGCTGAACATACTATTCAAAAATGTAGCATTTACTTAAAACTTTTGATTGAGAAGAGATATGACTTTCATATTTGACATGTACATTAATTACTCATAAGAATTCAAGATGTTTCCCAGCATGCCATGATATTTTACCCCTTGATAATGATATTTTACCTAATTTTCAAAATATTTAACTCTCCTAAAAGATGATTAGGCTACTGACTCAAATGTAGGAGGAATTCAAGGAAGACGGGCCCTTTTGCATAAAAGAAAACGTCATTTTTCGACCCCAATTTGACTACTCAGGGCAAAATCAAAATTCCGAAACCTTACTGCACATCTACATGACACCACCAACCATCTCCCGAAAGATGATTAGGCTACTATGTAAAATGTAGGAGGAGATCAGGGAAGACGGGGATTTATTCATAAAAATCGTCATTTTTCGACCCCCATTTGATCCCCCGGGGCAAAATAAAAATTCTGATACCTTACTGCACATCTGCATGACACTACCAACTATCTCTCTAAAGATGATTAGGCTACTGTGTAAAATGTAGGAGGAGTTCAGGGAAGAAAATTGTGACATTGAGAATGGGACTTCATCACCTGCAGTTTCACAAGTTATCTAGAACCTAGTTTGTTTATACAAGATATTTTTTCCAAAGTTATTTTGAAACCTTTTTTATACAAGATATATCCGCTTTTTGTGTTTGACATCTGTAGCGGACAGTATATAGAGAACCTCGCTAGTGAGCTAGCTTTTCAAGTGTTGCGGTAGAGTATCTATTTCAGGCAAGTTAAGCAATGACGAGTCTGTTTAACCATTGGATTGCTAACCGCTCAAAAACATGGAAAACCTTGGAAAGTAATGAGATATAGGCCTATCTAAATGACATGCAAAAATTTAGGAGTTTTTCATACAAACATAATATGTATACTTTGTGGTGTCAGCATCATTCATTTAATGATTTGTTTGTATCTTTCATTAAGCACTATAAAATGAAATTCTGTATCACTCCAAACGTTGTTTAAGGATATTTATTTGAACAGCAAATTAAAAATTGCATTTTTATACAACGATTTCCATCATTTTATTGTCCCCTGATGGAATCTAAATAAATTGATGAAATAAACTTCACTATTATTTCTCATTTTATTTTTTTCACATTTGCATCTACAATACCTAGGACTTGTCTTGGTACAAGTCCACTAAAGATGATAACACTTAAATATTCTCCCATGCACATACGTTTAAAAAAACCATGTCAGAACGTTTTTCAAATCATTCGACAAAAGTGTTTATGATATGATAAATACTCTTAGCTCTCTGATTTTCCAAGATCTAGCATTGTGGAAAAAAAAAACAGGTTATGTTCACCTAAATGGGATCTTCCTAGTGAAAATTACGAACATTTACTTCTTGCTACGTCAGACGAAATATAGAGCGGGAAAATCCAAACTGATTGAAATATTTTGGGAATGTACTTTTTTTGTACTCGATTTACACTCAGGTGAGCAAAAATTGTGCTCAATCATGCACATGAAAAACAAATCCTTGCATTTTTTTCTGAATGTAAATTTTCACTGGGTGGTAGAATAACTTGACAAGCAATTAGATAAATAATGTAGGTGTGCATGTCAAATACGGCACTTTTCAGAACTTCCAATTTAAAAAAAAAGATATTCATGTATGTATTTATTTTTATATATGCTTTATTGCATATATTTTTATAATTTTTTTGGTGGAGGTGGTGGGAAGGGGGGGGGGGGGGTTACAACAGTATTAACATATCGATCTTTTCAATACATAACAAATAAGGAGAATGTCGGTTATACGTCTTTTCAATAAATGTAGCTTTGTTAGCTGAGCTAGTGTCACTTTGCTTTCAAGGGGTTCTGGTTCTACAATAAATGAAAAAAATACCGAGGATTTAGATCTGGCATTGGTGTAGTTTAACAATTCTGTCATTTAGTTTTGATTGGTGTTAATTTCTGGGCAGTTTTCCTGACATGTGATTAAACCGAATCAATTTTCGCCAAGACTTCGGATTGAAAAAAAATCACTCTTACTTTCTTTTAAAATATATTTTTACACTCAATATCATCATTGCATGTAATAATGCAGCTGTAGTTTGACAACAATCAGAGTCAGATATGTTATGAAATAGACAAAAGTCATGAAAATATACATGTATGCAGAAAGCACAACGGAGAAAATCTTGTGACGATATATTTTGATCGCAGTTTTTGTTGCAAAACAATGACGTCGCTTTTACTATTGTGACGTAAAATTCTGTCAGATTACATAAGGGGGGATTTTGCTTGGAACGACTTATTTATTAAGTAAAAATAATGCAATAATTAGAATAAGGCCATTCCAAGTTTTTTTCGCATCTTTAAAAACCTACCTACCTATTCGCAGAAAACAAACAAGCCAAAACAAGAAACACAAGCTAAAAAGTCATAAAAATGACGCCCTTCAAATGATTTGATCTAACTTAACTGCTTTAATAGAAGATATATCTATTCTTAAGCAAACACAACGGATTAAATGCTTACAATACACCCAATATATCTTACTGTACATAATTATTTGGAGAAATTTACAAAATTCAAAAATTTCGACTAAATTTATCAATTTCAGGACTTCTGTTGTTGTGTGTTTTTTTCTCATATGGGGTGTCAAAAACCAAGGCACACGCGGACGCTAAACATAGAAAAAACTTGGATTGGCCTAAGATATAATACATATATGTTTAATGTTACATAACTCTCAAATCATGGCTTTCTTTTAGATGGGTGGAAACGCAGAGAGAGTCCGTTAAATGAGCTCAAGATTTTGATTCCAATTACAAAATAAAAACACCCCGAAATATATTACTGTACAGATTAAAAGTATCGCCATAATATTAGTTAACATTAACTCTGACTAATATTGTAACAGTATAAAATCAAAATTGATTACAGAAAAACATAATTCCTGTACATACCATAACAGAAGATGGGCATGAATAAAAAACTTGAGATGACAGTCGAAAAGTATATGATAGCCATTTCAGATATAAGGAAATTAAATGCAAACAGGACGTAAAAAGAAATATTTCTATTGTATAAAACACACACTTTTAAAGTGTGCCGCCTTGTTAACACAAATACAACGTCATGGTAGCTCACTCGATAGAGCGCTCGCTCCATGATCGGAATATGGAGGGTTCATCAATCCCGTGACTTATCTTATTTGATAATGATATGCATGTAAGTACATTGTACATGTTGCAACTGCTCCCTTGCAAAACACTTGAAACTTTAAAGTGAATACCGCGGGTCTCACGGATGACACCAGTGGCGATTACAAGTCTAAATTTAGAATCCTTCACTTATAGAAAATATTTATATGAGTGAAGAATTGTCGAATTCGAAAAAAAGAACGACCAATTTAACACTCGAATCGGTGATATGATTCTCTCCTCTCAATTTGTGAGTAAGTCACTCTTTCAATTACCTTAACCTCCTTTTTGTTTACTAGAAATTGATATTAAATTTTCGGGCTTCAGAGCAATGACCGACATTTCAGTTAATGAAGCCTGTAGCGGTATTTCATAGGCACTATATATTTCAATGACATGATTTTGAAATAAATCTGGCTAACAAGCTAATCAATGATTTCTTTTTCATTCCAGTCCATTTCTTTTTTATTCAATCTATTAATTCAAAAGAAATAGCTTTCTATATTTCTCTTATGTAACAAACCTTTTTTATGTCTATATATTGTATATTAAATCTGACTTCTGACGAACAACACATAGCATAACAAGGAAAAAACATACCAATTATATGTAACAATAAACCCAATATGTGACAGACCAAGAACCATTTAAGCGAGTACTTTAATATTTTCAATACCAGTGGTCAAATAAGTGCGTTACATTACCATTTATGTTTTCTTCAGCGGGTGATGGTTTGCTTCCTTCTTAATTAATTATCAATATTATATAACATATATCAAGGAAGAAGGGGAAATATTAATTTCTTTACCTGCAAAATTTGATATTGCTTTTGACATACTGTACGTATACAGGGAAATATAAAAAAAAAAGGGCAAATTCAATTTTGTGATACCCTTAAAAATTTGTTCTTATGCTAATCTATACAGTCTAACATTTCTGATGATTTGCTGAGCGGGCATAAAAAATCGATGTTGGACCGCTGAGTGAGATGTTAGACCGCTCGCCTTCGTCACACAATGGGTGGAGCTTAAGGCTGACATGAATTCTTAAAAACGCAACATTTTCATCTATGTACGACTTGTTTCATACCAACTATAGCCGTATTCCGCCATATTTCTTCCAGATACCTTGTCTCATTGTAACGATATATACCCCAATGCGCTCGTTACAGTTGAATGATTTTTTGACTTGGGCATCGACTTGTACACATCTCCGATGGTAAAGCATATGAGAAAACATGAGGAGATTAAGACATTCCAAAACCACAATAAACAACATAATAATTATATTTCTGAATAATTATTGATTTGAATCAAAAGAAAAGAAATGCAAGTTTGTTGAGAAAATTAGATGCACGAGTACGTATTTTTACAGTGCGCCAATTTATGCAGAATAAACTTGAAATAAAAAGCAGTAAAATCTGCAAACACATTTTGAAATTATATCATTTAAATGGAACAAAACAACCCTGCAACATCTTTGATTTGCAGCCCCTATGCAATTGGTGCATATCGAGAAAACGCCTCGAACGCTGTAAACGTACCCATACCTGGTAGTAAGGTTACTGCATCGGTTCGAAGATGTGCACAAGTCAAGTGATATACACCCTGAATTCCATTTATTGAAAAGAAATAAACTCCGTAAAAGCTCAATAGTAAACACAATGTCATTACTCCGTACAGACTAACACGTCGATACACTTAGTCCGTGCTGATCAGATTTTGGTCAGGCAAAATATCACAAGTGGAAAGAGAAGTTATTTGGTATTTTCGCGGCTGAAGGGGGGGGGGGTGTATTATAGCTGCTGTGCATAAGCTATCTATCTACATGTAATTTTAATATACATTCTACACAAAATCATTTATATAGTCTGCAGTGGATATGCGTCGCAAAATTCATTTGTCAATTATAACTGATTATTTTAGTACTAATCTCAAATCGAAACCAAGTAATTTGATCCACGGTAATTATTTACTTCAAATCTTAAAAGCAATTAACCAGAATACAATTTTTTTTATGTGTGCATAAATATATACGTTCTTTAACACACACACACACACACACACACACACACACACACACACACACACATAAATATATACGTTCTTTAACACACACACACACACTGAGTGTGTGTGTGGCTCCCCCATACTGGGGACCTGCTACAGATACGCAAGTCGTAAAATGGGGACATAAAAAACATTGGGGACTTGATTTAAGTCCCCAAACTTTTTTTTCGTTGAAAACGAAAAATTGACATGTCTCAATCCTAAAAATATCAAAAAAATAACGTGTCCCAGTTACGGGGTTTTATCGGACACATGATTACACAGATATCGTGTTGATTGAAGTTGCCATCTTCACTTACACATCTCTGACGTTACACACTTCTAGATTACGCATGCGCGTGTGTAAAAAAAGCGGAAGTCCAATTGTTTTGAAGCGGGATACAAAAACGTGTGGAAAAGAAGACACAGAGGAAAGCCTGGGCACAGAATCCTAGATTCTTTTGATAAGGATGATTTTTATGCTGGAAAACGGTATGTTATCTACTTCTTGGATAAGATATGGTGCGAGGAAACTTGCATCAAAGTATTGAAGGGGGGAGGGGGCAGTGACGATTGCTGCATAGGCCTATCGGGTACTAAGTTGAAATGAAAAGACAGTTATTTATGTGATTTTCTTTCTTGAAATAGTACACAATTTATGCTATTCATTTCACAATGGTTTAAAATTCATCAAATGTGAGGTATATTAATCGAATGTGTTTTGTATTTCATGTCAACATGAAATGACCTTTACTAAGTTTTAACTGAACTAAATCCAGTCCACTTTAATTGGAGAAAATGGAAATGTAGTTTGTATGTGTGAGTTTTTTTGAGCCAATAGTGAGATCAGATTGTACCACCCCCCCCCCCTTTCTTCTTGAGATCTGCAATTTAATTTGTTTTTAAAGCCAAACCTAAGATCGGGTTGTACCAAACACCTCAACAACCCACCCCTTCTTCTTGTCGAGCTCAACAACCTATTTCTGGTGTTGTTTTCTTTTCATTTTTTAAAGCAAAAAGTGAGATCTGATTGTACCCCCCCCCCCTTTTACTTGAGAGAGAACATACAGTGTAGTTATCAATTCATCATATATATTCACTTGTCCTATAAGCATTACTTAATACAATAATAGCCAATCTCAATTTTACTCAAAATGCACTTATTATCTACTGCTAAAGAGCAAATAATTGAATATCAAACATATATTGTTTTCATGTTGTTTATAATTAAAGAAACTTGGACTGAAGCATCTTTTAATTTAAAAAGCTACCACATTACTTATATGACAGTATAATTTCATTAAGTGACAATTATATTTTCCACATTTTTTTCTTAATTATTACCATTTTACTGCATTCTTTTAAAAAAAATCACATTTGATGTCTCTAAGGGCCTGTACGTGTTATGGGCATTGGAATAAAAATGCTCAGAAAGAAAAATATGGAAAAAAAACGTACGTCTTGAACAAATTTTATTAATGAATTTTTTTTAAATTATATAATTATTTATTATCCTTAAACATATTAAAAGATATAGAATTAAAATAAAATATAAAAATCATGCAAACTTGTGTATATTAGATTTTTTTAATCAGGTCATTATATCCTAAAGCAAGACATTATACCTCTGTCGTTTTTATTATGTCCAATAAAAAGTTTATATATTTCATTGTGCATTTTGCCACGATTCTCATAGAAGATAACAATATTTATTATTTCCACTAAAAATGATATTCTGTATTACCGGTATGCACCAAAATTGACAAAAAACTATTTATTATAATCAGTCAGGACATTGTACTATAAGGGCATTATACACTTCCGGTGTAAACAGCATACTCAGGAACTGAGGAAGCAGGTAAGGCATGGTTTGGACTGAAAAAAAAAAACCAACGTCCTTGTTTGATTCCTTGAAACGATTGTGTAATTATGTTCTGGAGACTTGAAGTCTGTACAAAGACACAATACATCAAAGTAGTTTCATGTCGACCGCTTTATACCTGTTAGACAGATCATGGATAAGCCTTTCCGAATTCCCTCAGTTTAATTCTCATTTCACTGTTAGTGTGTTTGTTTATAAACAAACAGCTTTTAAATTGAATTTTTAAGAGTTTAGAGTTAACTATAACAGGGTCCGACACTCGTCAAAATTTGGTCTCGCCATTCGGGCAACCTTGGTATGATCACAGGTTGCCCAAATGAATTTCAGGTCGTCCAAATAAAATATCAATTGAAACAAAACTTAATGTACAATTGTTTACAATTTGTTAAGATAATAAATAGAAGCTAGTTGTGTTTTTGTATTA